CGTGTACCCTGAAGCCTCAAGAGAAACATTTTCAGGATGGCCAGGGACTGACCCTCCAACATGACCCCCTGTGGCAGGAATAGCCCCATCCATATTTTGACCAGAGATGTACATTTCCCAAACAGCTCTCATTTTAAATATTTTGATTTGCTAATTCAAATAAGTGCCCTCAAACATATTTTGTATGATCATCTCAGAAAATGAGGGGAATTAGATGGGACTTGTGGGTCCACCTGTCCCAGATGCCTTCTCTCCTCATGATGGGACTATCCAAACCCTGAACTCCCTCAGTGTGGGAAAACAATGAGCAGGCCTTGGTCTTTGAAAGGCTCTGCTTCCACTCATGTTTCCAGAAGTAAAAGAAAGAAAGGCCTTGGGGATGTCTTTTAGCCTTTGCCTCCTAGCATTTGGAGTCATGAATTCACTTACTGGACTCATTACTTGTGACAACCACTAGAAGATTAAGGGAACTAGGTGAGGAGACGGGAGGCCTACAGGAGAGGTTTAGTTCCAGGAAAGTAGTGTAGGTCTGATGACAGGCATGCGGTGTGCTTACGAGAGTGGCCAAGCCCCGGTGCAGGTCTAAATAAGATGCCTAGAAAAAGATAGGTCTGGAAGAGAAAGGAAGTATCGTCGTGTTGGTGGTATGGGTGAGAGGAGAGATATCAGTGGGGAGGGTGACAAACAAGTAGGGTTGGGGGGAGCTTCAACTCACTCATGGATTTAACTAGAATATCCCCAAGTCTACCCATCCCCTTTTCCTTCCAATCCCTTGAACTTTCAGTTTTATACCATGGTGGACCCACAAGCCCACGATGATCTCTTGAGGGTTCTCTGTTGATCTTGAAATCTACTCTCTAGATTGCAATTCCTAAAAACCTCCAAAGATAAATTTCTGGAAACCCCAAATTTGAATCTCTTAGGATATCTCACCAGAAGACCCCAAACTCTTTCCCCTAGGAATCCTAAATCTGATGTTTTAGGAAGTTCCCCACAATACTGCCTTCTTTGGGGACATATACAAGGGCTGTGCTGTCCATACGTTAGCCACTGGCCTCATGTGGTTACTGAGAACTTGATATGTGGCTCTTCCAAATAGAGATGTGCTTATAAGTGTAAGATATCAGCTGGATCTCAAAGGCTTCATATAAATAATGGAATGTAAAATATCTCATTAATAAGTTTTGATTATAGGTTGAGATGAAAATCTTTTTTATGTATCAAATTAAGATACATTATTTAAATTGATTTAACCTGTTTCTATTTCATTTTAAACATGGCTACAGGAAAATTTAAAATGATATAAGTGGCTTGCATTATGTTGAACTTTCAGTTTTATATCACTGTGGGAAATTCAGGAATTCCAGGACAGTGCTGCACTAAGATACCTCCCTACCCCACGCATGTGTCTAAGGATTCCCTGAGGTATTTTGTGGTCACTGCATTTCTTCCCGCAGGCGTCATGGAGCAGTTTGCTATCTCTGAGGCCACACTCATGGCCTGGTCTTCCATGGATGGTGAGGACATGAGTGTGAACTCCACCCAGGAGCCACTGGGCTGCAACTATGGTGACAACTACCAGGAATTGATGGAGAGTCAGGGTGAGAGATGTTCCAGAATCCAACCTCTGGGGCCTACGAGGCCTCCCCGCCTGTCTAGGCTGCCCCCACTCACCTTCGTTCTTTTAAAACTTCCTTGTTCATCTCCGCTTTCCCATTGTTCTCCCTACTCCCTGCGCCCTCCGTGTCTGACTGTCTGACTCCGGGTTCTCTGTGCCGCCTCTTAGCAGTCTCTTGTGCTGTCTGTGTTGTCGTTCCTGCCGTTGACATTCTGTGGCTCCACCGACCTCCACAATTCTTTTTACAGATGCCCTGGCTCAAGCCCCCATGGATGGATGGCCTCACTCCTATGTGTCCCAGGGCATGTACTGTCTGGGGTCATCAGATGCCTGGGAAGCCAGCGACCAGTCCCTCATTGCCTCTCCCGCCACAGGATCCTATCTTGGGCCCGCATTTGATGACTCACAGCCCAGCTTGCATGAAATGGGACCTTCCCAACCGGCTTTGGGCTACTCTGCTCCGGAGCCTCCACCTTTGCTGGGGGGAGACACTGACTGGGCTCCAGGGGTGGGTGCAGTGGACCTGGCCAGGGGCCCTGCTGAGGAGGAGAAGAGGCCGTTGGCCGCTGAGGAGGAAGAGGATGCGGGATGCCGGGACCTGGAGTCACTCTCCCCACGAGAAGACCCTGAGATGTCTACCGCGCTCAGCCGAAAGGTGTCTGACGTCACATCCTCAGGCGTGCAGTCCTTTGACGAGGAGGAAGGCGAGGCCAACAACTAGCTTCCTCCCCCGCGACGCCCTGCCTTCCACTCCCACCTGAGGGCCATGGCTGCGACCCACACACTCCCTCCCCCCAGCAATACAGCTGAAACTGGGCAGACCACAGCGGGGAACCCAGGAGCTTCCAGTCCTCTCCCGGAAATGGAGGACCAGGATGGGATTTTATCCAGGCTTACGCTCTAGAAACCTGCACGTCTGGGAACTGAGACCCGGGCGACTAGATGGCCGTGAGCTTGGTGTGGCTGTGGAGAAGGACCTGGGCTGTGGGCTTCTGGGTCTGTGCCGACAAAGCCTCCAGTATGTGCACCCTGAGGTCGGGGGCAGCGCAGCTGTGCTCAAGACTGGACCTCAGTTCTTCACTCCCTGATTTCGTCTTCCAGGAGCCGTGACTGTGCTGTCTGAATGCCTCCTTTCTCCATTTCACTCTTGCTTTTCCCGACTCCGTTTTCTCTGGCTGTGGCCATAGCTCATCCCTACTGAGAGAACAGACCTCAGGGGCTGTTGGACATGGCTGAACAGGCTCAGGGGAAGCTGCCTGAAGGGCACGTCCACTTGGAGGGTGGAGAGGCTGCCTCAGCAGGTCATTGGGCTTCTGAGATCTGGAGTCAAGGAGGAGGTGGATGCGGCAGCTGAGATTTACAGGGGGCACAGACGTGATTCTTTCCTTCGAGGCCTGCCTGGAGACAAGTGAGTCACTGAGGAGACCAAGAACAAACACAGCCACTTGCTCTGGGATCTTGAATATCCCATGGCTGAAAGGAGGATCCTAAGGATCTGGGAAAAGACCCAGCCCGGGCTGGCTGCTCCAGCTCTTGCTTCCCTTTCAGCCTTCTTCCATCCCTGCTCCGGGAGCCCGGCCCTGAGGAGGGTGGGGGGACATCCGTCTTGGATACACCGACGCAGGATGCAGGTGTCCCCAATGGCGGGGAGAGCATGAAGGCTGTCTCCCCTACCCACCCCTATCCTCTGGAGCTGTTTACACTTTTCTCTTTGCCTTTTCTACATTTTTATAACTTCTTGGGCACTCAGGGTTGAGTGGGGTGGAGGGAGGAGTCCGGTGCTGTCACTCTCCTGGCCAGGCGGGGTTGTGGCTGAGGGCGAGGGTGGGCACTCGGCACTTTCTGCCCCTTCTTCAGCTCCTCCCAGGACTCCCAAACAGCCTCACAGCTGTCCTTCCTGCCTCCCCCGGCCTCCTACCGGAGGAAGAGGAAAAAGCTGATTCTTCCTTCCAGGATGGTATATGGTGAGACACAAGCTTCCTTCCCACACTTGGCGTCCATGCTGGTGGGCACTGAGCAGCCTGTGTGCCCCAGCACTTCTGTAAGAGCACAGGCAGAGGACGGGCAGAGTGAAGCAGCAGCGCTGTGGGGCTGGAGAGCACTTGGCCCTGCCACTGCCAGGGTGGCCCCTCCCCAGCCCTTGGCACAGGCAGAGTTTGGGTAGGAGAGAGGCCTAAGAGGTTCACTGCCCTACTTCCTTCTTTCCTCATGCCCTTCTAGGCTCCAGCTCCCGGGCCTTGTGTCCCACCACCTCTGTTGGGGGTCCCACTACTTGCATCCTCTGCTGGAAGGGAGCACTGGTGTCCCCTCCCAGCCCTGGGCACAAACTTCGCCCTCACCCCCAGGCCCCAGAACTTATTATTTTGAAATAAGGAGGTTGAGAGTTGGGGTGTTTCCATCCATCTATGATCCTGTCCTGCCATGAAGTTCATACTCTCTTACACACTCTCCTGGGATGCAAGCAGGGCAGGAGGTCCCGTGTCTTCCCTGGGAAGGGGAGAATTGTTATCCTGAGGTTGGTTTTTGGAGGAAACATGGGCGTAGGCAAGGTGAGCCAAAGCAGATGCAGTCACCTAACTGAATACTGCCTGCACAGGGGAAGAGACCTCTTGTGCTTGCGAATGTATGCTGACTCCGTGTCCCAGGACCTCATTTCTAGGATCTCCGAGAGGTGGTCTAGCATGCCGGCCCTGGAAGCTGTTCTTTACCAGTCTCCTGCTGCAGGCTCTGGGGTTTTGCATGTTCAACCTTCCTTCCACGGGGTCCCTGGTTCCCCACCTTCTGCAATCCTCGCTATTCCCACATCACCTCTTCCTCTTGTCTCATTCTCCCAGTGCCCATATTATCCCCCCAGACCACAGTGGACATCTCACCCAGTGAATGCATTCATTCATTACAGTTCCTTCTTGCTCAGGCCCGGGGGAGTTAGGAAAGGTAGACCACAGCAGCTTTCTTTCCTCCTTCCCTTTCCCAAGGAAGCCAAATGGTCCCTGACAAAAGATGACTAAAGGTCTGAAGGATACATGAGCAGGGGCTTGGTGTCCCCAGGGTGCTGGCATATCGCTGCAGACTGGAAGTCAGGTGGGGGTCTGCCTTCTGCAAGGAGCTCCCACCCGCTCTGAAGAGGGAGGAGACTGAGGAGCTGACCTGGGACCATCTTAGGACTCTTCTGGTGCTGGGGGCAGGGTGCATGGGGGTTGCTTATCGCCTATTTCGGGGTGGGGAAGCATGTGCAGGAAGAGGCTGTTGTGGGGTGGGAAAGGGTTGCTTTTCCTTTGGGGTTAGGGCTGTGCAGCACGTTTTACAGCAGTCCCGGAACAGGGCTGTTTTTATATTCTTGTGAATGAAAATGCTCTTGCTAAATGATTTTCTTTTTTTGGGAGGGGGGGTGTACTTTCGTTTACAATTGACTTTATTAAATGAAAATCCATATCTTCCACTCCTCCCCCTCCATTGTCCTCTCCACCCCCACACACCTTCCTTCTTATCCCTGTGTTGAAGAGGGGATCTTGGGGAATGAGCTCACTATCTTCTCAACCTCACCTTTACATCCCACACACCATCTTCCAGGTCTGGGAAATACCCATTTTTATGGCCAGTCTTAGCATGTTTTCTTAATGTGACATTCCCACCCCAGGCCCAAGAGAGATTCTATGACATATATTACAGAGAGAATTCTATATCAATATATATAAATATTATAGATTATGTACAAAAGGGCATGGGCTCAATGCCCACTGCCAGTTCCTCCCCCCCAGGCTTCAGTGTCTCTCTTGGCCTGGGGAAGTGGGAGGGATGTGATGCTGGAGAAGGCTACAGGCTGTGTTCAATGACACTAAACAGAACATGGTGGCATCCTCTGACTATGAGTGTCTTATTTGGGGGATGGAGGAGACTGGGAAGAGGGGAGGAAAAGGAGGAGAATGTCGGAGAGGGGACACAATGGCAGAATTAAGGCAGACGGGATGGCAGGGTGGGGGAGAAAAGCCTTGAGTATGGGGCAAGGGTTTGGGGATGCTCACAGCACCTGGCCTCCCTTTCTAGAGAAAGCATGCTGATGGAGCACACAGCCAGGCTTCCTGCTGCTGATGTGGGGAGGGTGAAGATGTAACTGTCCCAAGTGTGGGCAGCACTCCGGAGCCCTGCCATCTTGTCACTCAACTCCTAACTCTCCAACCCTAGGACAGGCATCTGAAGAACTAGTCTAAGAGGGGGCTGGTGTCTGAGTGACCCAGTGACCTAGCTGCTCTGAGCCCTGATTCTTGGCAGGAGAGGCCCTGGCTAGAGCAGCTCCAGGGCAGAGCTGACCTTTGGCAGGAGAGTCAATAACTACAGTGGAGAGAGGGAGGATGCGTTTCCTAGGGAGTAACCTGGACACTGGTGGGCGAGGAAGCTGTGCTGTGGAATAGAAGGGTTTTCTGCCAGAGGGAGTCAGCAGATACCCTGGGGGCGGGACTGTTGGGCAACAGGGCACCTGCTTCTTTCACACAGAGCCGTCAGCGACCTTTTCTTCCAGGCTGCTGCCCCTGATAGTCTTTTTCTCTGCATCTCACTGTTTGAAGCAGGGGACAACGGAGGGGGAATGTGGGTGGCCTTTCATTGCCCTAGTAACGGCCTGGCCTGGAGACAGGCAGTGGGAGCCAGGGAGGGGTCAGAGGCAGATTGCAGGAGCGGCAGCGGATGTGGGCCAGCGCAGGGCTCCAAGAGAAGCGGCTGTGGCTGGCCTGGAGGCACGTTCTGGGGTAGTCAGTGGCTGAGGCCACTGGATGGTCCCATCCCCTCCTCCAGTATGGCACTTGCAGGGCCACAGTCATTCTGGGCCTCCCCTTACCCTACCTCTTGGAGACCCTGAAGCACAGGTAGCAAGGTGCTGGGACAAGAGCACTGGGGAATTGTTGGGGGAGGGGAGGCAGGGTATTCCCTACCTGCACACCAGGAACACTCAGGAAGCCCCATGGAATATCAGGGGCCCTTCGCTAAGGTTGGGGCCACCTGCCAGGCTGGGAATGGGGAGAACAGTCGAAAAAATTGACCAAGGCTCTTCCCTGCCTAAATGCTGATTCCTCCTTTAAGACTATCACTATCACATTAAAAAAATTCCTAGAAGAGGCCATGACATGGGCATGACCTTTCCAAATTCAGGTGTACCCTGTCCCACATAAGTCCACCCTCAGGCTGGGCCTCTCGACAGTCTTTATAAGGGGGTCATGGGAGGGGATCAAAGGATCAGTTCATCCTCATCCTCCTCGTCTGTGGATCGCAGGCTGGGGCCTTGTAAGATGTCGGCCAGTTCCTCTTCCAGCCCTGGACTCTCCACCAGCTCCAGCTCCTCCAGCTCACCCTCTGCCTTGCTTGGGGCCAGGGAGAGAGGGGGCTCTGGGGAGGGAGATGGCACAGGGGTCTCTGGGGAGGCAGCAGTCACATCCCCTGCTCCAGTGTCCCCAGGCCCGTTCTCAGTCAGGTTCCAGGTCTCTGCAGAAGGTGAGGGTCCCCCGGGACTCTTTCGAGTTGTAGTTGTGTTCCGGAAGCTGGCAAGGGGAGGGCGGAGCTGTACCCCAGACTTGGTGTGCCCCTCAATGGCCTTCTGTAGCTGAGGAGCAGTGGGAAAGGAAAAGAAGGTAAAAAGTTGGAAAATGAAAAAAGGAGGGCAGTGAGAGACAGAAAAAAACAGATACAATGAAAGGAAAAAAGAACAGAAAAGATATAGAGTGGCAAAAGGGGGAGAAACAGAGACAACAAGGAACAATCAGAGAAAGAAGTGAGAAAAAGGACAAGAAAAGGGGCATGACAGATCCACCTGCCAACTCAGACCCTTGGGTGACCTCTTCCTTCCTAGTGACCACCTGCAGCCACATCCCCCCACTGCCCTGTTTCCACAGCTTTCCCCAAAGCTCATCCCTGAGAAACTATGACTCATGCCTGGAACCCCCATCTCAAACTCGCACTATCTGCGGAAGATCACATGAGTCCCATCTGGGGTGGAGAATTCCATTCCCTTCAGGGCTGTAGCCATAACAGGCTTTGTAGTCTCCTCTACCTCAGCTGGCTGCTCCTTCTACCCCCTCCAATCTCTGCATAAGAAATAGAGAGGGGAATCGGCACAGTGGCTCATGCCTGTAATCCCAGCACTTTGGGAGGCCGAGGCAGGTGGATCACCTGAAGTCAGGAGTTCAAGACCAGCCTGCCCAGCATGGCGATATCCCATCTCTACTAAAAATAGAAAAAATTAGCCGCGCGTGGTAGCACATGCCTGTAATCCCAACTACTCGGGAGGCTGAGGGAGGAGAATCGCTTGAACCTGGGAGGCAGAGATTGCAGTGAGCTGAGATCACACAACTGCACTCCAGCCTGTGTGACAAGAGTGAAAAAAAAAAAAAAAAAGAAAGAAAAAAAAGAAATAGGGGAATCTGAGCGGACTTTTGAGATGCTAATATCCCTTTATCCCTTCTGCAGCCCCTTATCCTGTGCCCAGCCTCCCCCCTGCTGCTCAAATGGGACACATTGTGATTACCTCCTCCAGGGCCAGGACGCCCCTTAGCTTCCCCATGCTGGTCACGTAAGCGAGGTGGAGGCCGAGGAGTGAGAACAGGGTATGAGTCTGAGTGCGAAGAGCACAGGTCAGTGCATGTTCCTTGCCCCACAGCTCCCTGCCCTCCCTGCAGCCCTGAGCAGTCAGCAAAGGACTTGCCTTGTGCAGGGTTGTCTGCTCCACCAGCTGGAAGGGAGACTGGTCAATACAGCAGGAATCAAAGCAGACAGGCTGGCTCAGCTGCTCCTGCTCCCAGGCCTCAATCTGTCAGCCAGAGGAGGAAGGTCACCAAAATCACAGTGCCTCCTGTCACCCCAGATAGCTGATTCTGACCCCAAATGGCCCTCCTAGCCCCTGCCCAGAATCTGAAAACATGCAAGGACTGATCACAGATCCCCCAGATCAGAGGCCTTCCTCCTTCTTCCCAGGTGACAGAGCCTCTCCGTCCTTCTTCATCAGGCCCCCAGCCCACCCTAAACCCCCAGGTACCCAGAACATCCCCCCCCGTCTTCTAGGCCCCAACTCTCCCATCCCCTGGTGTCCCAAACATTTGTGATTTCCAACCTCTTTCCCATCTATTTTCCACTACTCCTAGAAGATGTGGAGCTTCAATCAAACCAGACTGCTTTCTGCTCTTCAAATATGCCTTCCCCACCTTTGTCTTTATGTTCTGACCATCTGGAGTTCCTTTACCTGCCCTTCCCTGTCCCCTGACTCTCCCATTCAGATGTGTTTCTCCCTTTTAAAATTCCCATAGTACTTGCTGGTCTCTCCTTCTGAGAAATGACATTGGCCTTGCTCCCTGCTGTACTGGCATTTGTCTTACTAATAGGCGGGAACTTCTTGAGTGTTATGTGGTATCGACTGCTGTACATTGTCAAGAAACTGGCACATCACCTCTCATGCAGGGAATCATGGGAGTACTTGTTGAAATTGAAGAGCTATGCTGGACCTCTTGGCACTTAGTTGACTTGAGCAAAGCCAGTTTTTGTTTTTGCCTATGACAAAAGGCACAAAGGCCAGCCATCCTCTTCACTTTAGATACGCACACCAAAATTCCCAGTAGTCCCAATAATCCATTACATCTCTGGCTCTCACACGTGTTTCTAAAATTTACTAAAATCTCTTTTCAGTCAGTACCATCTGAATGATCTAGAACTCTATTTTCCTATTTGTCCAAATCTACACCTCTCAAACTTCAGGGAATGTCACCAAATGCCATTATATAGATTTAGGATCTAGTGTGTGGTCCATAGCGATGCTCACTCCACCTGTCCTGTCCTGGTATTTCTGGATTACAATCATGCCTCCTCTCTACTTTCATCTTCCTCAGTAATGGATTACACAGGGTTACATAGCATAGGATGGACGACCACTTAGCAGGTGTGTTGTAGAGAAGATTTAGGTACAGTATGGGGGCTAGACCTTGCCAATCATAGTTTGGTCCATCCTGTCCTCTTGGTCCTTTCTATGGTCATCTGTGGCCTTATGTTCCGTTTTTGCCTTTCCTTAACAATAAGGCAATATTTTCAGTGAACGATTATCAAGTATATCCTCTTTGCCAAGCATTTTTCTAATTGCCTTAAATGTTTTAGCTTAATCTTCTCCAATAACGCTATCATTATCTTCATTTTGTAGATGAGAAAACAGAGGTACAGAGTGTTTAAGTCATTCGCCCAGGATTGTACAGACAGTTGTTTGTGTCCCTGGAATACAAACAGCAGTCAAGATTAGAAGCCTAGCTCCACCAGTTTTTTGCCTAAAGGATACAGGACATTGCTGTTGAGGCTGATGTGTTCCAATACTTGAATAAGCTCAGTCCCACTTAGAAACAGAGCTCTGTGTGTACTCCAGAGTATGCAGAATTAAAGAAATCCTAGCGGGAACTTCTGGCAACATATAATTTAATCTTTCAGCATTCCCATACTGTACCCATACTGTTTTTAGGTCAATATCAACATCTTGATATTGTCAAGGGTGTCATCTGGTCTGAAAATTGTGTTCAAAATATCCTGAATTTTGACTCCTATTGTATCTTATCCCTCTAAAATGTCTCAATGAATCGCATGGGAGTTGGTAGCTCCTTAAAGTCTTCCTTGAAAAAGACATAAGCTAGAAATGATGGTCTACCTTCTTTTTATTCCTCACTGCACTTTATTTCCAGTGGTCATTAAATAACCACACTGATCTACTAGCTGGTTTTCTCTCTGGTTCATTGAAAAAAAAGCAGGAAAACTTATTATTATTGATTTTAGCAATCTAACAAAATACTCCTTAATTGCAATTTTGGCCTTTCTGATTCCTGCTTGTGGGCAGAAGGAATAGTATTTCTTTTTCCTCTGTGATCAGCTATTTGACTTTTCCACAAGTCATTTATCAGAAGCGTGTGTGTTTTGAAAGGTGGGGAAGGTTTCCTTTCTCTCTTGTCACTCACAACACCCTCCTCCAACCCGGTAATGCTTTTCATTGTCAGCACATATTTATTCTGGATATCTAATAAGATGTTTATTTAAAAATAATATCTGCTGTTTTGTTTTTTTTTTTGTCAGCTTCATACTTTACAAGCTTTACGTTTCCAGCCTTTGCAGCAAACTGTGCATTCTTTTACCATATGGAATAGTTGCCAATGGATTTTCTTTGTTGTTCCTCCATAACCCCTCGGCATCTTCTGATCTGGACTGTTCAGCTGCCTGCTTCCAATCACTATTCCACATTCTGTTCCCTCCTTACAACAAAGCACATTCAGAATGCTGGATTTTTCTCTCTTGGAGATTTGATAACTACCTCTTTTAGGAAAATAGGCATTTGTTTGCCCCCATGGTCATTATTTTCTTCCTTTTTCAGTTCTTCCCAGTAGCAATGCCTAGCATTTTCCAGTTGTTCACTGTCTCACGGCCCTGATCAATCCAGCACAGTAACCTCCACCAGGAGCAGATTTCCCCATTTTGGTTTTATTTTTTTTTTGAGGCAGAATCTGGCTCTGTCACCCACGCTGGAGTGCAGTGATATGATCTTGGCTCACTGCAACCTCTGCTTCCTGGATTCAAGCAATTTTCATGCCTCAGCCTCCCAAGTAGCTGAGATTACAGGCACCCGCCACCATGCCCAGCCAATTTTTTGTATTTTTAGTAGAAATGGGGTTGGCAACGATGGTCTTGAACTCCTGACTTCAGGTGATCTGCCTGCCTCAGCCTCCCAAAGTGCTGGGATTACAGGCGTGAGCCACTGCACCCAGCTTCCCATTTTAGTTTTGATGTTTTTCTTCCATCTTGCTGTTTTAGTGCCAGCCTCCTGGTGCCATTATACCTCCATTAAAGCTTTGCCTGATCCAGAAAGTCCATAATCTCTAAAACGTCTGGGGCTCATCTTAGCATCATGGCGCCATTTGCTCATGGAGGCTCAATGCTTTCCTCTTCTGAAATGACTGTATCCCTCTGAGAACACCTCCATTCCCGTCACACACTCATTACTGTCTCCATAATCATCCTTATTTTTATCCTCTCAAAATACTTCCCATTCTATTTCATGACAACACAATAAAGAAGGTAGAAACAAAATCACAATATCTTCATTTGGCAGAACAATCCACCCCAGGTTTCGATTTCCCTTACTCACCTCTTCAGGTGACATGTAATCGACTAAATCTGTGGAATCCTAGAGAAGAAAGACATAGGTCCAAGTTATTTCCCTTTTCTTCTCATGGTAGCTATGGGTCCCAATGAAACAATAGCTATCGCTCCCTGGCCAGGACCAACGATGCCTCCCTTCTATCAACCCTTCCATATGAGCAAATTTCTCCTCTTTGGTGGGGTCTCTGCCTTCCTAAGAACCATGGGTTTCTCACTCTTCAAGGGCAGCCTCCCTTTCCCCTGTATCATCAAACACATCTCCTCTCACCTGGGTTGCTTTCTTCTTTGTGGGGTGAGCTCTGCCCAGGAAGCAGCGAAGCAGGGACTGGAAGATGGAGGGTCTTTGACCTGAGAGGAGTGATGAGTGGATGGAAATGGGCACAAAGCAACAGGAAATGGCCAGCCCCCCCCCACAAGGTGCCTGACATTTTCCCTCCAAAGAGATGCACTTCCCAGGTACCTTACCCTTTCTTCTACCCTCCTAAATCACCCTCTGCTCCCACTCCCTGGGACAGTAACCAGGAAAATTGATGAATAAGAACCCCTCCCTCCCTCAATCCCCCAGCCTCACCCCCCACCTCCCATAGGAGCTGCATGCAGGTCAACATCAGGTCCAAGTGACCAGAAAGAACCCACAGGCTGAGTTGGAGTGCATGAGGGAAGAGTGTCACCTGCAGGCTCTGGTGCTTCCGGCTGCTGTTTGTGGCCAGGCAGAGGCCCATTGGGCTCTTCTGGGGACAGGGGGACAGTAGGAGAGGAGTGGGGAGCAGGGGAAGGAGGCAGCTGTAACAAAGAGTAAGGAGTCTCAGCCTGTTGGGAGCAGAGACTGCCTGGGGCTTCACTGTCTTCACCAGTCGGTGGATGTTCTGGGAAAGCAAACTCTATTCTTTCCCCCAGTTAATAAATTCCTATATCCCTTTGAATTGTGGAGGATACCATCATCTGTAACCTTATCTTCTTTAGTCCCTGGATTCAGGGACACTGGTCTCTTTGGAACCTGATCCGGAATTTCTGGCTTTCTCAGTTAACAGCCTCTCCCCTCCCTCTTTCCACTACTTTCAGGGAAACTACGCCTGTCCCAGCCCAGCCCAGCTGACGCCTTTCCCTTTGCTCCTCATCTGTCCTGCTCCCTGGCCCTTCCCGGCACGGTCACCTCGCTCTTCCCAGAGAAGTCTTCGTCTTCATCCTCATCCACAAAGGCGAACGACTCGGGCCGGCCTGGAGGCGCGCCGGGGAGCCCTTCCCCAGTCAGCCGCGCCTTCCCGTCGTAAGGCAGCTCGGACAACTTCCGCGCCATCTCCTGGGCCGCGCGCAGCCTGCGCTCAGGACACAGGTGGCGCTGCAGGAGGGCCTGCAGTTCCGACCGCTCCACCGAGCCCAGCAGGATCATGGAATCTGGGGGAAGTCCACGCCCTGCCTGAGCGCCCCCTCCAAGCCCTCCTGCACCACCGCGCTCCGCACCCCAAGAACACGAGAAGCGCCCCCTACCACTCCCCCACATCTTTCTCAGCTTCCTGCAAACTCAGTAAGAATCCTCCAAGACTAACCTCGCTCAATCCCTTTTATTTCATCCATTTAGCAGGTACAGGGCCAATTGGTAGAGCACTAATTGGGCTAATTTGCGCTTATTTTGGTGAGGTCTCATATAGACTTCGGATAGGTGAGCTGATAATTAAGTAGGCTAATCAATGCTGTCCAAATAAAAAGAAACAGGAGAAGCCATTCAAATAAGCTGAGATGTGAAGACGCTTTGTTAGAAGTCTGTAAGCAATACAAACATTATATCTCTACCTGGAAGAAGGGGAACAAGGCAACTCTCCCTTTTGTATCTGACATTTTATCACTTAAAAAACCTGAGCCAGGTGCAGTGACGCACGCCTGTAATCCCAGCATTTTGGGAGGCCTAGGCGGGTGGATCACCTGAGGTCAGGAGTTCGAGACCAGCCTTGGGCTGGTAAAACCCCACATGGTGAAACCCCATCTCTACTAAAAATACAAAAATTAGCTGGGGGTGGTGGCAGGTGCCTGTAATCCCAACTACTCAAGAGGCTGAGGCAAGAGAATCGCTTGAACCCAGGGGGCAGTGCAGTGAGCTGAGATTGTACCATTGCACTCCAGCCTGGGCAACAAGAGCAAAACTCTGTCTCAAAAACAAAAAAACAAAAGAAAAGAAAAAAAAAAAAAAAAACTTGGATCCTGCTAGGATAAAAACAAAATGCCTACTTTTCCTGAAAAGGTCTTTATATGATTATAGAAATTCTGCTACTGTAATTAACATTTTTATTAAGTTTTAAGGCCATGACATTGCAGCAGTACTATAGAGATGAATTTTGCTGTTAGGTCTCAGTCATTATTATGAAAACCTTATGCCTGATTTGTTGGCTGTACTCCTGCTCTAATAAAGAGCCTCTGCTGTAGAACTTAGAAGGTATCTGAGATTTGGGGAAATATTTGAATTAATCTAATTTGATAATTTGGATATTCTGATTATCAGAAATCAGAACTAACAATCTTAATAGCTCCAAATGGCCTTACATAATTTTTCTTTATTACACTAATTCAAACACTAGGCAAGTATTCATTTACTATCTAGCAGATACCTATAACAAGGCATCCTGTGTATGTAGAATTTATAGCCTCTATTCTCAAGGAACACCCACCTAGTGAGGAAGACAAGGCATGGATACATAAACCACAATAAGAAATCATACAAAGTAGGACGAAGTGTCAAAGGATGGTGAAGGCAGAGAAATATGCAATTATTATTTACTAAAAGCCATTCATTCACTTCTCCATATGAAACAGTTCTGGCTGGGCACAGTGGCTCAAGCCTGTAATCCCAGCACTTTGGGAGGCCTAGGTGGGTGGATCACCCGAGGTGGGTGGATCACCTGAGGTCAGGAGTTCGAAAGCAGCCTGGCCAACGTGGTGAAACCCGTCTCTATTAAAAATACAAAATTAGGAGGGCGTGGTGGTGTTCTTCTGTAATCCCAGCTACTCAGGAGGCTGCAGACAGAGAATCGCTTAGAACCCAGGAGACAAAGGTTGCAGTGAGCTGAGATTGTGCCATTGCACTCCAGCCTGGGCGACAGAGTGAGACTCTGTCTCTTAAAAAAAAAAAAAAGAAAAAAGAAAAAGAAACAGTTCCAACTCTTCCATAAGTTGGGCATTAAAAAACAGTCATGACTTAGTTAAGCATCAAAGGGAACCATGTAAGAAGCTATGGGATTTACATTAATAGTCGTTATTCATAAATTCCCTATTTGTGAATTCAGCTACTCACTAAAATATGTTTGTAACCCAAGGCCAACACTAGAGGTGCTTTCGCTGTAATTCGCAGACATGCGTAGAGCAACAAAGATTTTGGGTTGCACGATGCCCCTGTTCCCAGCTGAAGCTGAACAAAGCAGTTCAACATTGTAAACGGGTGTTCTTTTTGTATTTAACGCCTTGCTTTTTGCATTTTTGTGCTTTGTGTTGGTGATTTTGCTGCTGAAAATGGCCACTGAGTATAATGTCAAAGTGCTTTCTTCCGTTCCTGGTGCGAGAAGGCTGTGATGAGCCTTATTGAGAAAACGTGTGTGTTAAGTAAGCCTATTTCAGGCATGGGTTATAGTGCTGTTGACCACAAGTTCATTATCAATTAATCAACAATATCTATTAAATAAGGTGTCTTCACCAGAAACACACATGCAACAAGGTTTTGTATTGATTGGTTGATAGAAATGTGACCAGAGGTTCACAGAAACCCAGCCCTGTATTTTTCCTAGGAGCAATATAGTTCAATATAGTATTTGAACTTAATACTTAATTGAACATAACTACCATGAATTATGAGAATCAACTATATTTAATTGGATTTTTAACTGTCTTTTTGTGCTTGTGTTATGGCTTAATTTTTCCTTCCTTGTACATAGCACATTGGATGGCCCCTAAAGACAACTTCCCACCACGGGGCCTCCTCTACCTCTGTGTGACCCTTGTTCAGGTCACTAGCTCTGGAGTCTGTTTCCTTCCTTCCCACTGACCTTTTGAGTCAACCAGTGGTAAAGTCTTGACTGTGGTGGTCTGGAGCAGGGTTCGCAACTCCCCATATGTGTAAGAAGCTGAAACAAACTTCACATCACGCACCATGATGTCCTCAACAAAGATGGTATATTTGCTATGGAGGGAGAAAGCACGGTGGGTTAGCCCCACCATATACCTACCCCTTCCATCCCTCCCATAAGATTTGCCATACTTTCAGTCACTCACAATATCTACTAAATGCATGAGGATATAATAATAATTTAAAACTGTGTTTCCAAACATTAACCTTAAGCTCAATCTCAACCTCAGAACCTCCCACTCTCCCCATCAGATCTGAACTAATTCCAGCTAGTGCCCCTGACCTGAGCTGGTTCCAGCCAAGGTCAGGCAGGTAGGGTAGCTTCTTGACCTGGATGATGCTGTCATAGAGAGAGGGCTGCAGGCTCTGAGCCACCATGTTGGCCAAGATAACAGCCACCATCATGGGTAGGATGTGAGCAATCTGACCCGTTAATTCGAAGCAAATCACAGCTGTGGACACTGTGTGGGACACGGCACCAGTCAGTGCTGCGGCTCCTAGAATGACACAGGAGTACACCTGTAGGTTAGGAATGCCATTCTTAGCATGGAGGACATATGGGGATGGGATGGAAACAACACAGAATGGGAGACATGACCCTGGTCAGTGCCAGCACTCATAATGATTTGTCAAGAGTAGGGACTACAGGCTGGGTGTGGTGGCTCCCGCCTGTAATTCTAGCACTTTGGGAGGCCGAGGCAGGCAGATCATGAGGTCAGGAGTTCAAGACCAGCCTGGCCAACAGGGTGAAACCCCATCTCTACTAAAATACAAAAATCAGCTGGGCATGGTGGTGTGTGCCTGTAATCCCAGACACTCTGGAGGTTGAGGCAGGAGAATTGTTTGAACTGGGACCCAGGAAGCGGAGGTTGCAATGAGCCAAGATCATGCCACTGCACTCTAGCCTGGGCTGCAGAGCGAGATTCTGTCTCAAAAAAAAAAAAAAAGTAGGGACTACAATACTGAACTCTTAGAAAATCATCATTTTGATCTCATTCTATAACATTCACCAGTTACAAAATCTCTGTGTGTGCCAACATTTTCATTTATTACATGAAGATAGTGATGTCCTATCCATTTCTTGCTTTTAAAAGTTAGGATGATTATTCACTGAGCATTTTATTTTATTATTTTTAATTATCATCATTATTATTACTGTTGTTATTTGAGACAGAGTCTCACTCTGTCGCCCAGGCTGGAGTGCAGTGGTGCGATCTTGGCTCAAGGCAACCACCACCTCCCAGGTTCAAGTGATTCTCCTGCCTCAGCCTCCCAAGTAGCTTGGACTACAGGCACGCACCACCATACATGTCTAATTTTTGTATTTTTTAGTAGAAACAGGATTTTGCCATCTTGGCTACGCTGGTTTTGAATTCCTGGCCTCATGTGATCTGCCTGCCTTGGCCTCCCAAAGTGCTGGGATTACAGGCGTGAGCCACCATGTCAGGCCTCTTCACTGAGCATTTTACAACTCAGTTATGACTTTTTTTTTTTTTTTTTAACCTTGGGCTTTACGTATTAATGCCAACAATTAATAAGTAAATAGAGTGAAAACCCAAGAATCATGCTATGGACTTGGAGCAATGAGACCTGTGTCAGATCCTGATCTGACTATTCCTCAGTGGAATGAGTAGAGCTTAATTCCTGTGGAGTCCCATGCTCTCAACTATAAAGTGAACGGGGTCATTTAGATGATTTCTAAGACACTTGTAGACCTGAAACTTTATAATTGTATAAGCTCTCTGAAGATAGAATCTATCTTAAGTTTTGGTAGGATAGGAAGGAAGGAAGGAAGGAAGGAAGGGGTCACAAAAAGGGAAATATAGGGAGGAATGACACTACTGGATAATGCATACAACATACTTCAGAACATAACAATCACCGGACATGTATACTAGGAAATATTCACAAGGGAGGCATGTGTACCAGGGAAGCATGAAGATGAAGAACAAGAGTTGATGACCCTCATTGACGAAAGAGGCTTTTATAAAGAAACTATGTGAGGGGAGCAGGGTACCGAATGAGCTAGAAAGCTGGTCAGCACTTCTCTATCTAGGGAAGGCATGGCCTTAGATGTGACGGGATTTTGGTGAGGAAGGAAGCATAATAATCCCAGGATTCTGTTGGTGTTAGGCATAGCTCTATCTCAGAAGTCATTTTAGAATAAAGAAACTAAGGCTCAGAAAGACAGCGATCTTTCTTCATGGTAACTGGTAACACGTGGCAGGAAAAGCCCAGAGCCATGTTTCTTAGCTCTTAGTTGTGTGCTCTTAGTCCCCGTCAATATCAACATATCTCAGGTTGAGTCAATCATCTGCAACCTGAGCCAGTCATCCACATTGTTGGTTCTATGATTCTTAGAAAGGGAAGACAGAGCCTTTATCAAACATCCAACACAATCCTAGAATCTTACAATCTCATTTAATCCCTGTAATCCTTTTCTACATGAGGAAACTAAGACTCATAGAAGTTCAATAAGAGCTAATATGGGTCAGGGCCATGGGTTTGTTATCTGGGTAAAAGCTGAGTTAATTAGCACTAAATTGAAACCATATTGTGTAAGCTAGAATGAAGATGCAATGGGAGGGTTTAAGTGTGGGGATCTGGGGTGCTCAGTGTTTGATTCCAGGGAAGTGGGAATGTTTCTTACCAATCACTGCATAGCCCCCAGGTAGGATTTTGTAGATGATGTCATCAAATAAAATACCATCAGGAAACAGCATGGCCATGATCTCTCCTACCAGTCTTCCAAATGCAGCTCCTAGAGGGAAGATAAAAGGAAGGAAGGTGTTAGGAGATCCAAGTTCCTTGCTCTGTTTTCAGAACCAATCTCTCCTTGGGCATTAAGACCAAACACAAACTCCCACCATCCCGGGCCTTTCCTTATTTTTCCTGTATTCTAGATTGCAACTGTCAGTCAGACCGCAGACTTCCCATCAGAACTTACCTAGCACAAAAACGGGCATGAAGCCTCCGCAGGGTATAGGCATAGTGGTGGCCACGATGGACATCCAGAACTGGAGTAAAAAGAAGCATTGGAATACCCTCTCAACTCTGCCCAACAGACATGCACACACCCAACTCCCTTCCCACTATCCTTTCTGCAGAAATCCTGGGATAGCCGATCCTTCTGAAAGCCATTTTGCCTGCGGCCCTTCTTCCAGAAACAAAAAACAGGGCTCTCAGGCTGAGATCACCAAAGACAATACTATCAGAAGGTTCCTCTAGATGGCTAGACCAAATCCCTCCTACTTTGAATGCCTGTATTTGCCTTCCAGCATTCTAGCTAGAACAAGGAATGGAACCCCATAGTAATTTTCTTTCTCTGCCCCGAAAGAGCCCCAACCCATTGTACCCATTTAGTTCAGAAAGTTTGCCTCAGCAAAGTAGCCTGAAACTCTTGAAGGTGGAGGAAAACCTTTCCTACTCAGGTTATATTTCTGAAAAAGAGCTCCAGTTTTTTTTTTTTTTTTTTTGAGACAGGGTCTTGCTCTGTCACCCAGGCTGGGGTGCAGTGACACGATCTCGGCTCACTGCAACCTCTGCCTCCGGGGTTGAAGCAATTTTCCTGCCTCAGCCTCCTGAGTAGGAGTAGCTGAGACTACAGGCACCTGCCACCATGTCTATCTAATTTTTTTTTTTAGTAGAGACGGGACTTTGCAATGTTGCCCAGGCTGGTCTCGAACTCCTGAGCTCAGGCAATCCACCTGCCTCTGCCTCCGCCTCTGAAAGTGCTGGGACTACGGGCATGAGCCACTGTGCCTGGCCAAGGAGCTTCACTTCTAAGTGTCAGACGTTTAAAGTCTGAGTGACTTATTGTGTGATTAATCTAATTTCATTGTGGTCATTCATACAGCCATCTATATGGAGAAACTCACAGTAGAACCTAGAGAGAAAATTTACCTGCCTAAGCCACTTGCTTTAACCATCAAATCTCCTTAAGCAAGGATCAAAAATTAGATCTGTCCTGGCTCTCTACAGGAACGGTAAATTGAGAAAGCCTGATTCAGTCAATGTAGTAGAAAAAATCTCTAAGGCCAACTTTGTAAGCTAGAATTCCAACAGAAATTGAGACAATTTTAGCAAAAGCATTATGTACATTTTGAGGCAAAGAGGACAAAAGAATTGGGAAATAGAATGGAAAAAAGGCTAGTGGTTGAACTTTTTAAATATCTGTAAAAGAAATAAAAATATCAGATGTAATATGTAAGCAAAGCAACAGGTTTATATACCCCTTCCAAAATAAGTAAACCAATCTTAGAAAAGGATCTCAAACTTATTAGGTCCAAGATTGTAGCTGCTAAAGCTCAGGACAAACTGCCAACATGAAAGTATTGACAATTTTAGAGCTGTGGGCAATTGCACCATAAACTAATGAGAAATATATTTCTTAATTTTCAGAACCTTAGAAAGAAAGAATGCCCACCATCCAGGGCTGACCTCAGGAGGTTTTTCTCAAAGACATTCTCAAAGACTCTGAGAAAGTCTCATCCCAGAAGCTCTGAGATGAGGTAAAACACACACTCCTTCATGTCAGAATATGACTATTCAAAAACAGTTGAGAACAGCAAAAATAAATGGGCAAAATGAAGAGATTAGAGACTGAGGATTCCCTAAGGACAGAGAGGGCATCTTGTCCTTTCTGCCTCTTTTCTGCACTGGTACAGTGCTCAATAAATATAGGAAGGAGGTGGCCAGGTGGGTAGGTAGAAAGGAAGGAAGGAAAGAAGGAAGATGGGCTGAACAAATAGTATTCATGCAAAGGAGAAAAAGCTTCTCAGAGCTAACATTTGCTAGAACACTAAAGAGTAATGCTCATCCAGGGGAACTTGTTTTAAATAATTTAAAATGCTGATGACCAGACCTTGCTGGAAGCTACCACATCAGATTGTCTGCAGATAGGGCTATAGGCATTTGTAGTTTAAGCTTCTTAAGTGACTCTGATATTTAACAGTTGGAGACCCCTTGAACTATCCTGTACCATCTCTTTGAAATAAGAACATAAGAGCCATAAGAGATTTTGTAGGCTCAGGTTAATCTGAAAGCTCTAGCAATTCATATAACAGGTGACCAATAGGTCTGATTTCAGAGGATGAACTTTAGATTATCCTCCAAGATATGTGTAAGAACAGTATTAGGATCAGAGGACATTGAAGTTACCAACTTCTGTAGCACAAAGGATGACACAAGAGATTAGCAAAGTTTTTTAGCTATTGGCACATGAAAGAAAAGGTCCGGAAGTAATGTTAAACACAAATAACTCCCAAGACTTTCTGACCTTTTCCTCCCTCCCTCCCTCCCTTCCTTTCTTTCTTTCTTACTTCCTCTCTTTCTCTTTCTCTCTTCCTCTCTTCCTTTCTTCTTTGTTTTTTGATGGACTCTCACTCTGTCACCCAAGCTGGTGTGCGGCGGCATGATCTCAGCTCACTGCAACCTCTGCCTCTTGCGTTCAAGCCATTTTCCTGCCTCAGCCTCCTGAGGAGCTGGGATTACAGGCGTCCACCACCACGCCTGGCTAATTTTTGTATTTTTTTTTTTTTTTTTTTTTGAGAGGGGGGTTGGCTCTTGTTACCCAGGCTGGAGTGCAATGGCGCGATCTCGGCTCATCGCAACCTCCGCCTCCTGGGTTCAGGCAATTCTCCTGCCTCAGCCTCCTGAGTAGCTGGGATTACAGGCACGCGCCACCATGCCCAGCTAATTTTTGTATTTTTAGTAGAGACGGGGTTTCACCATGTTGACCAGGATGGTCTCGAGCTCTTGACCTCGTGATCCACCCGCCTCGGCCTCCCAAAGTGCTGGGATTACAGGCGTGAGCCACCGCGCCCGGCCTAATTTTTGTATTTTTGGTAGAGACGGGGTTTTGCCATGTTGGTTAGGCTGGTCTCAAACTCCTGACCTTAGGTGATCCGCCTGCCTCGGTCTCCCAAAGTGCTAGGATTACAGGGGTAAGCCACCGCACCAGGCCTCTTTTTTTTTTTTTTTTTT